TGGGTCAGGTTGCAGGTTGTTTTGATCGCCCTATCTAAGAATCCTTTCGTTTGTGTTACGTGAGTGTCGTCACTGGGACTGACCCACCGGGCTGGTATGCCGGCCGGCGTCGGTTACATAAGGAACCGACTGAGATCAGCGTCTCTCAGAGGTAGCCGGTTGTGTATGGGGCCGGGCCGGGAGTGACCCGACGTCAGACGGGGCGCCAACTCCTGGCCTGGCCGACGTCCCACGGCCAGGGCCGACCCGGCCAGCCCCGTATTTACACCGTCAATGGCTGCCTGCCATGCTGGGCCGACCCGGCCGTCCTCTGTTCTCTCTAGTCTCTGCTGCGCAGGTGTGGAGAGGAGTTTATGACTGATGGCCGGGAGGGTGGCGTATTAGGGTATACGAGCTGTATGATGAATCAGTTTGGTGAATGGAACATCAAGGAAGGAAAGCTGAAAGACAGACCTTTGTGTCCAAACTAGTCTGGTTAAAAATCTGCCGATTTTCTTCCGACCTTTTTGGCAACCTATGATTCATTCATGTGAATTTGTCATTATGTGAAGCATACACACTACACAGCTCTACATTCAATGGATTTTGGATCGTGCGTTCTTTCTTGCTATATTGTCCATCTGATACTGTGCTCGCTAACCTCGGTTAAGTGTGCTCTTTGACGCCTTTCGTCAGAAAGTCCTAGCATACTATCGCATTACCTTCGCCACTTTTGGTGATCTAGGAAGCAGACATGTGCTTGGATCCGAGAGCTGGATCTATGATCTCAGTGGATCTCTCGACAAAATAGAGGGGTTGGATCTATGATCCGAGTGGATCTCTCGACAAAATTCAGGGGTTGGATCTATGATCCGAATGGATCTCTCGACAAAATTTAGGGGTCGGATCTATGATCTCTGTGGATCCAGCGGGCAAAAATTTGTGGAGGACCTATGATCTGTATGGATCTCACGACAACATGTAGCCAATGAAACCCTTATCCTACATAATTGTACACCTTACAGTGCAATACAATTGAGAATTATCACTTGTGGACATGGTTATTGGTTAAGACCACTTGTAATCATTAGGTATCATCATTAAATTTGAATTTGAATAAACAGCATTTGCTACTTTTTGTGACCAATTGTAACTTTTTCATGACAGCACTGATGACAATCTTATCAACAAGCTGCAGCCACTTAAATTCAATGAACAAACAGTACAGACAGATGCAGTGGCAGCAGGGCACTGCAAATTTTCATTTTGGTCCCATTCTTTCCATGCAACGCCAGTAGGGCTATATATTAAAAAAATGCCAAAATCTATGGGGGGGGCACTGTACCCTGGTGCCACCCCCCCCCCCCCCGTTCTGCCGCCTATGGACAGATGTTAGGAAATCAAACCTGGAAGCCAAATAGGTCAGTTTTGTTAAAAATAATCCAGCAATCCACTTCTGCCAGGTTTAACTCACCTGATGAAATCCCAATCAAGAATGTTCGTATGAGCTATCAGCTATTAGTATGTGCAACACAATTTCGATTTAGTAAGAATAGCAACCAACCTCTAATACTTTCCTAATAAAATTACAAGTTCAAAAATGGCATCAACTTCTTCAGATTACCTACTTTTGGCATCGTGCCAGTGACTGCCACGTGTAGTGCCATGCTGTGCTTTTGTTATGAGAGAGCCTCCCAAAAAAAGACAAACGAAATTCACAGCTCACGTTTTGGTAATATGGTTTTATTACGTCATTATCGTTTGACCAATGAAAAATCTTAATTTGACCAAAAGCGTAATGATTCCAAAAGATTCCCCGTAATAGGCCCTTTAAACTAATGACGTAAGATATTGTTATTCTTTTGAAAAGTGAATAAAATAAAGATGCAAGGCGCACACCGCTCAGGGCCATCATGTAAAACCATTTCAGCTTACGCTTACGTCATTAAATTCAACGCTACAAAGATGATATTCACAAACAATCGTATCGTAAAATTATGTGAGGCAGATAAAATGAAATTCTTAAAAAAAAAAACTCCATGGACTTTTGAATTTCCAGTTTGATTTTTCATTTATTTTCATTATACTCGAAGGTAGAACGCCTAGCTCATTTGTTATTTGAAATGACGTCACGAGTTCTATTTAGATACTGAATAATCATTTTACGGTAAATATCCAAGGCCATTACAATTTCGCTTCCCATCGCTTCCGCAGGCTGTTGAATATTTTTATAGTTTTGTTTATATCTCAGTTTATTTTATCAAATATTTCTTTCAATAGATTGAATTACCTTTACCTAACCAAGCCACATGTGTCAGTATCATCTTTTATTGTTTACAATCAATTGTGGTAGCTGGAAACTGGAAAGTGGAAAGCCTCATGGTTGTCTAATGCAAGATTGTCTTTTCAATATCATTATGTAGATTCTAACATGAATTGTGATGTGGTAGGTACCTAGTTAGTAGTTATGTATTGTTCATTAGTCATTACTTTGACTTACCTCTATGTTAATTGTTAATGCAACCTTTTCTGTTGGTATGTGAACTGTGAACAATCTTCATGTCACTCAATTCTCTCAAGTTGTGACCGTCATGAGCCTCCTTTATTTTGTATTCTGTATAATGTAACTGGATGCCTTTACTAATATGGCCTTTGTATAAGATTGTTTGTTTCTAACCATACTTTGGTATTCATAACTTCTTATGAAAGAAAGTTGTTAACATTTTGAGCACCTATGAGCTATGATCCCAATGGATCTCACGACAAAATTGGGGAGCCAGATCTATGATCCGAGTGGATCTAGCGACAAAATTGAAGGGTCAGATCTATGATCCCAGTAGATCTCTCGACAAAATTGAGGGGTTGGATCTATGATCTGAATGGATCTCGGATCGGGATCCATGGGATCGGATCTCAGATCCATTTTTCCGGATCCAAGCACATGTCTGCTAGGAAGAAAAATGCCTCTCAGTGTTTTCGACTGAGGTGGCGCTCGTATCATTTGTGTATAAACGCCCACACTAGTTATCCTTAGGTCCGTCCCTACGAACCGCGACAGTGGCCTGCACAGTGTAATGTACCGTGTGTTCCAGAGTCGCTGCTATGTCGTAACACCGTCCAGAGCCTGTGGCGACTCGGGGACACTGTGGAGTGCGTCGGCCGAGTCGCAGCCGCTACTGCGTAGTAGCCAAACAACGCACCGCGCCTCTCCCCGCCTCGTCCTTCCTGGCTGGTCTGACCAGGCGCCGATCACTGGCGCTCTCCCGCGGCTGGCAGAGCAGTCGCGCTGCGTGCTGTCCTCTTCTGCACCTCGGTCAGTGCGCATTGACCCCGCCGCCTCTGAACTGCGCTGTGGTATTGCGCTGTACGCCGTGCCCCTCTCTGACCAGAGCAGTGCCCCGATAGGGCGGTGACTCCCCACCGATCCCGGCCGGACGGGCGACCCGCCCTCCCTGGCACCGGGCCACCGCCGCCGACGCCGTCATCGATCGACGCGCCACTGTGGGTGTCTGAGACCGGCGATCTCCCGGCCGCCCCCGCCCCCGCCCGGTCATTGTCAGGGTCGGCGGTGTGGTGTCGGGGAGTGCCTCATGTATGGATATGAGCTGGGGAGTGCAGTAGTTCATCCGGGAATCACAGGCTGTCTGCGACGATATTGCGAAAGCAGCGGGCATGTAGTGGAGCTCCTACAATAACGACGATATCAATACGGATTAGACGAGTTTGGTAAAAGGGGGCTATTGCATTTCCTTTTGAACGGGCTCATTTGCTGAAAGTAAGTTTGCCTCTTGCCGTTCGACCAGTTTGCCTCAGCCCCCCCCCCCCCCCCCAGTCACATTGGTTGCGCCTTATGTCGCTTTCTCGATTCGTATGACGCTCTTTCATTGTGAATTTACGATACAATGGTCTGACGTGCCCTGACCCCTCGCTGACCCCGAGGAATTCGTTCCGATCTCCCTGGGCCCAGAGGTATGCGCTAACCCGTACTTGACCCTCGCGTATGTGCCGTGATCTCTGGGCGGTTTTTCACGGCCGCTGCTAGCATGCTGCTACCACGCTGCCAGCGAATTTCGCGAGCTGACGTCATACTTTGTGGACAGGTCACTCAATTTTGAAGCATCCGAGTTTGTTGATGTCTCCATGGAAACCCAATTTGCCATGTGTGCTGGCAGCGGCCGTGGAACAGGGCCCTGGTTAAATCTGGGCGTGCGCCGCGGAGAGCTGGGATTGATTTGTTTTCCGGCCGGCCTGCCAGTCAGACACGACTGTTTCGCGGGCCCCAGAGTGCAGACAGAGGTCGTGTCCCCCTGGTCTCACATAGAGGTCGAACTCGTGCTCCGCGGGTCTCAGACAGAGGTCGTGTCCCCTGACCTCTCTGACGCGCTCGTGTCCCGTTGACCGCTCTGCCGGATGGGACTGGTGAGGTCCGCTCTCTGTCTGCCGGTCAGTGGCCGGGTGGTGTGGCGGAACTCAGTTGGCTGTCTGTCTGGCTGTCTGGCTGGCTGAGGGCTGTCAACAGTCTGTGGTCTGCTTTTTTCTCGTCTCAGTCGGACGGCCCTGGACACTGGCTGGGTGGCGTCGGTCTTTTGAAGACTTTTCGTTGACTTTAAAACATTTATTGATTTCATGTTCCGATTCATTTCAAGCACTGCTGCTGTCTCTGTAAATAATACGCCCCTGTGGCGCTGCGGTCCTTACTTTGTTCAGTGCCGATTTCCTCCCGTTTTTACCCTTTGTCTGACCATTTTGTCAGTCTGCCCGCGTGTTGTATTCCAGGACAACACAGGTCCTTTTCCGGTCACAGAGCTGGGGCCTTTTCCGGTCCTTACTCAGTCCGCGCCTGGTCTCTACCCTATCTTCCCGTCTGTGTGTTTCAGGGCAGCCTGTGTCCGTCCGCTGACCTATCCGTTTGTCTGTGTAGGGCAGGACAGTTAGTGTGTGGCTCTGGTCCCAGCTCTGCTCCGTCCATGACAGTCTTCGCCAGGTCTCTGACCGTCCCCTCCACCTCTGTGTGTTTTCAGGGCAGCCTGTGTCCGGCCTGCGTGGCCCATTCTATGGACTGCCCCAATGGCAGTGGGGCGTCCAGCGGTTTCGGCAACGGCTGCTCGTCGGGCGGCGGCGGCGTCAACGGCTGCAGCAGCGGCGTCAGCACGGTCAGCGGCAGCGGCAGGATCGCCGGCGAGCCGCCCAGCTCGGCCGTCTCCCGCTCCACCATCCTGACCAAGGCCAAGCCGTTCCCCGTCATGGGTGAGTGCCGAGTAGAGCGACGGGGCAGGGGAGTCGATCTGTACCGGTTAAGTGGGGTGGGGAGGGTGATTTGTTATAACTACCTTGGGCCAAAGGTATGCAGGTAGTCACAGGCAACCAGGTCTGGTATATCATAAAAAGGCGGTAGATGTTCGGCAGTAGAGGCAGATGTTATGTTATTCCCCTGCTGGCGATGGCGGACGCTAACGTGGCTGGTTCGAATGTCATTCTGGTTAGGAAGCCTGCTCCCGGCTCCAAGCTGATGTCAGCCTTGTATGGTCGCATCAGACCACCACCTTCCATTGTCGTCTGGGCTGGGTGTAATATTCCGTTTGAACTCTTAGCGTGTTTTGCTGTCTCTGGCCTGAGCGTGTGGTGTCTTGTGCTGACTGTGGACTGGGTGTGCTGTGTTGTTTGAAGTCTGGACGTATCTTACCGTCCGCTGGTTCAGTCCTGGAGATGTTTTGTCGTCCGTGGCCTCAGAGTGTTGTGCTGTCTGAGTCTGTTGCGTCATGCCGTGCGAAGATGACAGTGCTGAGGACAAGGCTGCAGGCTGTCCAGGGCAGCAGCCAGCAGGCTAAGACATCTCAGACTGGTTATTATGACGGTCTCAGGCTGATGAGTGTGGGCCCAGTGGAAGACCGCAGAACTATACTGAGGACTATGGATTCAGCTTATCTGCAGTGAACGCGATCAGGTTGTGAGATGGGACAACCTCAACTGTGGACGGTGGTTGAAAAGAAAACTGCTTCTACTCCTATTTTCATTGTTATCAACTTGACTGTCTGTGCTGGGGTTTGCTAGTTTTGTTGTCTATATGCTTGGGAGATGTGTCCTGTCTACCATGTGTCTATTTAGTTACCCACGGGCACGTCGTGCTTTGCGACAAACCTCTGAAAAGGTATCGTCGTTTGGAGTTCTGACGGCGCCTGGCTTCCACGTCCGAACTGTGATATGCACGTTGTCCCAGCCGGCGAGGGTTTAGTGACAGCGCCCAGCGAACTACACATACGGTGTGAGCTAATGTCGGTCTCCAAGGACCAAGGGCGGATCTGATGTAAAGCGGTCTCTGACATATGCTGTGCCGGTTATACCCACTTCGCATGCCATCAACATGCAGTCACTGCCCTTTCCCTTACTTGCCTTCTACCTTTATGACGCGGGCGGTGCATGGCACATTGCATGGCTAGTCCGAGTTACGTTAATGCCGGCTGGTCTGTGTCAAGCACCTCCTGAACGAGCCCGGATAGCCGGTTGTTGACTCGGTCCCCAGGCTTATGGTGGTTCACCTCTCAAAGCCGTCGGTATGGCCGCTCTGCACCGGAAACGATATGCTCTCTTTTTTTACCTAGGTGTGCGGTATTCGTATTTACGTCGGTTGCCATTATGTTTGTTTTCCGTTTGAAGCGCATTGAGGCGCTTATCAGCTTACTGCTTTTACCTTTTTGTATTCGTTTGCCTGCTGTCCTTATTCACAATACTTACCAAAACTACAAACTTATTGACGAGAGTCATTCTCATCCGCCGTATACCTCATTTCGCTTGAATGAAGATATGCAACAATGATGAGGGGTTAGAGGAGCACGGCTACGTCGTAAATAACCCTATCAAAGGGCACCCCTGTCTCGCTGGTCACTGCGTTGGTCGATAGCGTAATTTATAGCCTTAATATCATCCTGAAAGGAATCCACCAGGCACGGGACCGGGCGGATAATGTGGAACGAATGTGCGAATCGTTCCCTTTTCATCGTGTGAGACTGTCCTGCCGACCACCAACCGCCGTGATGGAGGTACCACGGCGGATGGCCCGCCAGCCATCTCCAGCTCTCTATCACTGAGCGCCCGTTCGCGGCGTGCCTGTTGCTGGGACTGAAGGCGACGAATCGATGATGTCTACCGTGAACTTGGCCCCCAGACGACGGCTGATTGGCTTTAGGTCGGACCCGGGCGTGGCAGGCGGCCTGGGCTGCAGAGTGCAGATGGCAGGAATGTCTGGTATCCTCCAGCGGACAGTTGTGAGCTCTGTGACTTACAGAGGGCAGCACTGTCTGGTATCCTCCAGCGCACAGTCCGGACTCCTGAGTCCCCGACGCGCTGTGACTACAGAGGGCAGTGCAGTCGCTAAATGACCACGAGCGTTCGGTCTGACCTAGCTCGTAGGTGGCGTCTCGGTCTGGCCAGTCGATGTAGCTGGCAGCGTTGGCAGGATGGAGTTACGACATCAACCGCCAGATGGCAGGGAAGGCGGCGGAGCAGGCTCCTCTGGCTCCCTCGCCAGATGGCAGGGCTGGCGCAGCGGCAGGTCGACCTTTGGGTGTCTGTGGGGTGTAGGTGGCAGCACTGTGGCGCCCATATGAAGGCCGGATTCCCCGCTAGGTGGCAGTGCAGTGGTCTGCGCTGAATGCTGATGCTGAAGTCTCGATGGGTTTCTCCGATGATTTGATTGAGGGATGATTGAGGGGGAGGGGGTGCTGAGGACTTCCTAAGCTCTAACTGAATATAAATGGTAAATTCCAAGGCTTGAGCTCCCGAGAAGGGTAGAGGGGTGACACGGATGATCCTCACAGCACGAACACTCCTGAGCCCTCTCAGACCTATGAGAGGTCTGTTCAGACTACCATGAGACCTTTGAGCTCTCTCAGACCTGTGTGAGGTTTGCCCAGACTAGTATGAGACCTTTGGTGACCTCAGATGCTAAGAGCACCTTCTAGCGTCGGTTTGAGGTTCTCTCAAGGATTCGTTGCGTCTGAGGTGTGAGAATCCTGCAAGTTGAACCCCCACTGACGTCTAGAACGATTTTAAGTTACCCGTGAGCAACGCGTGAGCTGTCACCTGTGTCCTTGTTACCTTTTAGCAACGCAAGTATGTGTTCTCGTATGATCCGAGTCGGATAGAATCACTGCACTCAATTTGTTTCGTGTAGTGCATTGGACTGAAAGTGTCAAGCTCCCCTGTGCTCTCGCCGTCATTCTGTCACCGTTTCCTTAGCCATCCATGGATAGAAGTGGCCTTTGTATATGTATGATACTCGGGGAAAGCTAGCAATTTACCCGGGTGACTGCCAGTGCAATTTATCGCGCCCCGTTCCCCAACTTTTGGTTGGGTCTCAGTCAGGGGCCGCTATAGAAAACCCCACGCTGCGCTCTAGTCCAGACATCATGTGGTGTGAAAGCGTCATCTCGATATCTGGAGACATGAATGGTATGTGGCGGTGTATTGTTGTGGTGACACCTGCTGTTGGATTATGCATGCACCCAGGCCAGCCGTTTGGGTATATATGCACTCTAACAGGGTGATCTGGTGTAATCTGTCCCTACCTCATAGCATGGGGAGAGGCTGGTATTTGTGTTCCTTTCCACATCCCATGAGCAGACCGTAGTTGCCACTGGTCAGAGGTGAGCTAAGCGCGTTGGACGATTCATCGGAGTCTGCCTGCTGTTTGTCCTGTCGGGGTGGTGGTTCATGGCCGGTGGTTGGCGGTGCGGCGGCGCCTGGCCAAACCAAACCAAACCCAGCCCGCCGCCGACGCCCGCATTGCCCAATGCGCCGGTCCGATTTCGCAAACAGACAAAATTAGGATGAACGCGAGTCGGGCGTTGCACAACGCTCCGAGAATCTGGAGCTCGGCGCGGACTGATTGTCCTTCAGCGGCCGCTGCATGACCCTCTAACGAGCGCGGGTCAGTCGACTGTTTGGGTTAGGATCACGGGACCGGCCAGTGGTGACCTTCTGACTTCCCCCGCGGCGGCGCGCGGCCCCGACCCGACGGCCGGCGGCGGCTCACCCCGTGTCTCGGGACCCGTCCATCGGCGGACTCTGGACGACGAGCCACCGCGGCCCGTCTTCATGTGTTGATGTGGCCCAGAAAGGGGGCCGTGTGGTCTGCTGACGTCACGGATTGACGTCACCCACGCAGTGGTCTGGCGGCGGCCCGGGGTGGCCGTCCGGCTAAAACGGAGGCCATGTCGTCAGCCTGTCCAAATGTGGCCCGGCCAGAGCGGAACTTGGCACCGGCGCTGGGCACCACGTGTGAACGGGTGGCCAAACACTCCAGACTGGACTGCGGAACGGCGCAGGACTTTGTCCGTCGCGAGCCATCGCCTCTGGAGAGTTCCTTGCCCACGGAGTGTTACGTGGCTCACAACCGTGCCGCAGGAGTCCGCCTCCGGATTTCTCCAATGGCTCTGAATGCTGAAGGATGTAACGATTCCAAATCACGGCCTGGCGAGAAGTCAGAGCGAAGGGCAATAAAGTCTGATTGTGGTTTGATGAAGACTTCCTCCACGTGCTCGTATCCTCGTTATTGGACATATGGATACCGGAATTCTAGCTTGTTGCGCATCATTTGAGAAAATTTGCCATAGGTAATACCTATCTACATGAGCACATGTACAATGCACACTCAAAGAAGAGAACACGAATGGTGTATTGGATTTGATCATTTTCCTTTTGTTTGACTTTTGGTATCGCAATGCTTTATTCACTTTTAGGTAGATATGCGAGCATTCCTCAAAATCGCACCTTTCACCACGCCGCATTACCCACTTACTCCTGTTTCCGAGAACACCACACCCCAACTGGTACCTAAAGTCGTTTTAGGGGTAACTTGGCGGATCATGAGGGACTACTTAGTTGTTCACCAAAAATATTGTCCATTAAAACTGTTCTCTCGAAGCTATTTCTCTTAACTTGGAAGACAAATGTGTTTGAATTGAGACACGGCATCGACCCTCATTGCCCTGGCTTCGGGTTGAGCGCAAATATAGGGCCGCCACGCTGTTATTTTCTCACGGGTAGGTAAATTGAACCTTTCGAAAGGCTGTGCGTTCACTGTTCAGTTTACCTTCCGACAATGTTCAGACCGCCCATAGGCGTGCAAACACATGGTATGTGATCTCATTTGGTTGTGATGTGTCGTTGCCTCTTGGCACTGCCGATAGGCACTATGAGAATCCAAGGGTGGTATATGGGATATTTGCCCCTCCCACAGCGTCCGAAAT